CTGGACAGGAAAATCCAGGAAACTCTTATTTCCAGTTAAATATAAAAAGCCAGAGGTGGAGCCCTGGCTCAAGTGAGAGAGCATCACCTTGAGGGGGGGAAAGTTATGGAGAGCAGCTAGTCCCTGAATTTAAGCCATAGGACTGGCACAAGAAAAGGAAAAGAAACGAAAGGAAAGGCAGGGGCCAGACATGGTGTCACACACCTCGATTCCCAGCTATTTGGGAGTTGAGATAGGAGGTTCAAGGTTCTAGGCCATTCCAGGCCAAAAAAATAAAAAAATGGTGAGGCTCTATCTCAGAAAATGAGTCAGGAGGGGTGGCGCATGTCTGTAGTACTAGCTGTGTGATGATAGATCGAGGTCCCAGGCTGTTCCTGGCAAAAGTGTGAGAGTTTACCTAAAAAAAAAATAAAGCCAGAAGGGGCGCATGTGGCCCAAGTGGTAGAATGCCTGCCTAGCAAGCACAAGTCCCTGAGTTCAAATATCAGCACCACCAAGACAGACATTCTTGTGGAGCAAGACAGTGGCCCACATCTCAAGAAGTACATAGCTAATGAGGTGCTGTAAAACAGCATCCAAAACAGAAGGGAGGGGAGTGTGTGGAGTAGTAGGAGATATACAATTTGAGGTCGAAGGCTGCACTGCCAAGAGGACAGGGTTTCTTTCTTTTTCTCTGGGAGCTGTTTTCTGGATTCCTCAGTACAAGACTTCAGACGGGATTCTGCTAGTGAGCAACACTGCTTATGTTCTTTCCAGAACCTCCCTCCACATGTATCCCTACTGTGAGCACTGCTCTGCCTTTTTTTGGGGGGCGGTACTCTTCACAGAGACAGCTCCTGGTCAACCCAGGCTACAGAGCTTCTGAGTACCGGGAGCGGTGGCCTGGGGGACACCTGGCAACTGCCACTCCAGTTGTTACCTCCATGACAGACAGTACTTCTGTCTCTCCCACTCTGGAAGTACTTCACCCTGAACCTTGGTAAATAGTTACTGCTTTCCAAAGCTTCACTGTCTGGGAGTGGAGTTACTAACCACATGGCCCCGTTGCTGAGGATTTCGGTCAGATTTTACTGCAGCCAACAGCGGGCAAGAGAACTTCAAGTCTTCTGATTATTACTCGGGTTCAGCTGGCTCCTTGGCAAGCAGAGGCACAGAGGAAGAGAGGCCTGTACCTGCCCTTTATGCAGGAGGAGCATGCGCAGCCCTGTTCGCTGTGCCTCGTGCCTGCTTATGAAGTGAGGGGGTAGTACCAGAATCTCTTTTCGCCCAGGAGAAATCTTGACTCACCTGAATATGTGTACATACACAGTGCACGCATCTGTACACAAAATACCACCCACCTGCCGGGCGCTGGTGGCTCACGCCTGTAATCCTAGCTACTCAGGAGGCTGAGATCTGAGGATCACGGTTCAAAGCCAGCCTGGGCAAGAAAGTCCGAGAAACTCTTATCTCCAATAAACCACTCGAAAACCAGAAGTGGCGCTGTGGCTCAAGTGGTAGAGCGCTAGCCTTGAGCTGAAGAGCTGAGGGACAGCGCCCAGGCCCAGAGTTCAAGCCCCATAACCGACCCCCCCCCCAAAAAAAAATACCACCCACTTGGCCACCTTACCCACAGAGAAAGTGAAGGTGGGTGGAGGACCACCAAGCCAGAGAAGATGAAAGTCCACAGCTGTTCATAGCTGGGACTGTTCACAGCACGTGCCCTAGAGCATCGAGGAGGGGCAGGTGAAAAACAAACAGGAGCCACTCGAGCTTTCTGGGGCCAAAAAGTACTTCCTTAGCACACAGGTTCTCAGATAAGGGTCCAGACCCGGAAGCTCTACTGCCAAATTTCATGACGTTTGGGTTGTGAGTTTTAATGTTTCCTTTTATCTCCATCTTGTATTTTATAGCCAGAGTCTGAACCTTCTCGTCGATTTTTTGTTGACCAGTGGGAACTTTCCCTTAGTCTCCGCTCCTCCCACCGCCCCGCCTCTCCCTCCTCCGACTCCCTCCGACAGGTAGCATGGTCTGGTTCCCCCACTTCCCTCTGCAGCCTCTGCTTCATCCACTCACGTGCATCACCTGCGTGGGCAAGGATGAGGGCCTATCCTTGGCCTAAGCACCAGGAAGCTAGTTGTGTGTGTGTGTGGGGGGGGGGGGGAACAGGGGAAAAGATGGGGACTGAAGTAGACACCTAATTAAGGCGGCTGCTGGCTTCCATTGAACATTTAACACCTCCAGGTCTGTCCCAGTAAGCCCACTGTGGTTGTGTTTTAACTGTGTCCAGTAAGGGTAGGCATTTTTTTAACTTGTATCTTTATAACCGTATGTGTTACAGAATATGAACCATATGGTAACCACCTCTTTGGTGGAGTAGTGAATATGCAGCATTCTAGGCACTTCTTGAACCCTGTGGTTACTCAGCGGTGCCAGTCCAGCTTTCGGGACGTTTATAATAAGATTTGGAAAGAGGGGCTGTTGCCCTTTGTGCTTCGCTTCCTGTCCCTGAGCAGGACAGGACCATGCAGTGTGTATGTGTGGCGGCTTATGCATGTGGGGGGGGTGCAGTGGTATAAGTGAGCAGTTGCTCCACTTCAACTTCCAAGAATGGGCAGAAGAAAAGCATCTGCTTGTCATGCCTGAAGCAAACAGAATTTGAGTCTTTACCTCTCTTGGTGGGGGGCGGGGGGCAATGTGGCCACAGTTGCAGAGAATGGAGCGTGACGAATGGCCAGCCTGTGGGCAGCCCCAGGCTGTAGCTGCTTGGTTGGGAGAGCAGGGTCTTGTCACACAGGCAGCCCAGGGCTGTGCAGCTTCCTGGCCTGACGGTTACCATCTGCTCAACACTCACTTTTCTGCTGCAGAAAGAAAGGCAGTTTTCTGCTCTCTCAGTGTCAGCTCTCAAACAGTCTATTCAGCTACACTAGTATGCACCTGTTCTGGATCTGAGTGGTTTCTGCAGGGACCCTGTCTAAAAAGGGCTTGGGTCTAAGAACCACTTGTCTCCTCAACCACCAAGGGTATGATCCATGAGGTCAGTGGGTGAATGACACCAGTCCTTGGCAATCTCCTTAATTTTTTTTAGTTAGAAACTAAAATTGATTACTATTTCCATCTAAACCCTGGCCAAGCAAATCAAGAATTGATTTCTTAGTTGTGCCTCTGATGTTCTCAGGTCATAGAATAAGTCATCCCAGAATGGTTTTGTTTGTCCTCCAGCCTGGACATGCTCAGGCCGGGGGTCCTCTTCCATGTGAGATTTGCACGCTTGTCCAGTGAAGCTACTTCCCCAGGAGACGGTGACCATCTCCAGGATGACTGTGCACAGGGCACAGTCACTTGGTGACTGTGCACTTGGTGAGGAGACCCCTTGCTCCTTGCAGTTCTTAAAAGGAACTGCACACACTTGTGTCACAGCCATCTTTACCTGGACAAAGAGACCCTGCAGGACTGCCAGCAAGACTTGGACCAAATTTCTGGGTACAGGATCCGGGGCTAAGTGCCAGGGTGCCAGGCCTCTTGGCAGGATGGCTTACCAGACAGATGTAGGAGTTTTCTCCTGCCAGAACGTGGTTGAATTCATTGGAGGGATTTCTCTTCTTTTCTGTAGCCTTTTCAATCTATAAAAACAATTCCTTCTGGGCCAGAAAAGCATTCTGACTTCCTAGGACCAGTTGAGCAACTTGTCTGTGGGCTGTAGCATGTGACTCCAGTGCCCCACCCAGTCTAGAAGGCTTCCAGCCCCAGTGCCCTGGCAGGTCACACAGGCCCTGAACCTCCCCTAAACATCCACAGGGAAATGGTGGAGGTCTGGTCCAACAGAGGTGTGTGACAGGCACTGTGGTCAGGTGATAAGGACAAGGATCTCTGTAATAAATGCCGTAACTCTTAACACCGGTGACCACCAGGAGACCCAGCCTCTGAAAGAATGAACTTGGTCTCTTTCTAAATGAGGAAATACAGCATTCTAGGCCTCTGCCATCCCGTGGCACAGGGTCAGTCTAGGTGTCTACCACCAGCATGGAATTGTTCCCTTGAACTCTGTGTTTGAGTTCCCAGGACATAGGCCCTTCTTACTGTTTCCCATGTTAGCATCCATACTGTTTCCTACTTTCCCATCCCCAGAGCTGCATATTCCAAAAGAGCCAAAGGACCAAGTTCTTCGCCATGGAAGATCATCTTCCACAGTGCTGCTCCTGTCTGTGCTGGCCCTTTGTGGACACTGACACAGTAGTTTGCTCACCACCAGTTTCCCTGCTTGTGTGCACTGTGTTGGCATGGTTTGCTGCTGCACTGTGTATTCATTTTATACATTTCAAAGATTTTTTTTCCTTCTGTCTTCTTCATTTCCCTTCATTCTGGTCATTCTGTAATCTCCAACCAATAGAAGTATATAAAGATGTACACGGGCGGAGTGAGCTCATTGGCTGAGCAGATAGCCAATCAGCTTCAAAGGAAAGAGCAACCCAAAACCCTTCTAGACAAGAAGGAACTGGTAAGAGATATCTCAAAGGCACTGTCAGTAGCCATGATGCTGGTCTGGGGAACAACCCTGGTTTGCTCTGTGGGGCTTAATATTGTATTTTTACTTGTATTGCCATGTACTAATTGTTTTAGATTTCCTGAAGTTTTAGGACTGCAGTCAATGTTTAGAATGATGTATGAATATGTATTTATTTATGCTGTCCTCCAGTTTGGTCAGAACAACTTAGTTTCATTGTTAAGACATTCTGTACACTTGGATCCTTCAGAGGAAACAAATGCTGGTTGCTGATTGTCACTGATGAGGATCCTTCCTTGTATGAGGATCTTGGGAGGGGGTTGTGGGTGTAGCACTGTAGGAGGATGCTGTTCTTCAGGAGAACCAAAAGCAAAACACATGTAGCCACTTAATACTTGTGGTCTGTCTGTACATACAACCATTGGCCAGGGTTGGCTTCACCTGCAGAGGGGATTGTACAGCCCAGAAAGGAGCCAAGAGACCTGGTCCTGACCTGTTCCTCCCCACTCCTCCACAGGGATCCATAAAGAAAGAGTTTCCACAGAACCTGGGCGGCAGCGACACGTGCTATTTCTGCCAGAAGCGGGTATATGTGATGGAGAGGCTCAGTGCTGAGGGCAAGTTCTTCCACCGAAGCTGCTTCAAGTGCGAGTTCTGCGCCACCACCCTGCGCCTCTCAGCCTACGCCTATGACACTGAAGATGGTGAGCTCCGTGCCTCTGCTGTGCTTAGAAATGAAGAGCAAGGGCTCTTTTGTCCGTTTAGACTGAGAACTTCAGGCCCTTCCTGCATTTTTCTAGGTGTATGGTTTTTTCATGTTCTCTCTCTTTTTTTTTAAATCCATTTGAACCCTTTCCATCCATCTCCCTCTATTCTTTCTCTCGGAGACTCTTATACTTTTCCAAAGTCATCAGATTATCATAGCATTTTTTGGTGGCAGTAGAAATGAGAATGGCAGTCATTTGCCTGTGTCATCTCCCTGACTTGCTTTTAAACCCCATGGTGCAATCTTGAGATAAAAGGGATACCATAGGGTACATCCTGTTGTCTTTACGGAAGGTGAGTGGCAAGTCCATTGAAGTCTTATTTCTTGCCTAAGACTGATGACAGCAGATTTAAACTAGTTCCCAGACTTCTGCTTCGTGAAGCTGCTTGAATACTGACTGGTGTTGTCACCTCCTTTTGGCAGCAGCCTCTTAACACCTTGAGTTGGAGGAGCAGACAACTTACTGTTGGGGGCCTGCTTTACTGCTTTTGTCGTTTCATTTCAAGCGAATGTCTGAAAAGGCCTTGGCATGGTACAAAGCAGAGAAGTGCAAGCAGATAGCAGTTGGATGGAGGCAGTCTGGCCATCTGGCCACCCAGAGGCCCTCAGATAGATGGAGGCAGGCTGGCCACCTAGCCACCCAGAGACCCTCAGATAGATGGAGGCAGGCTGGTCATCTGGCCATCCAGAGACCCCGAACAGTTAATGGAAGCAGGTGCTCAAAGGTACCCATGAGTTCCCCTCCACTCCTGCAGGACACTGAAGGGACTTAGCATCCCCCAAGAGGCAAAGAGCCCTCTATGACTAGAAGATGCAAATAAATCCCTTCAAGGCAGTGTTGTAAGGTGATTTGCTGGCCATGAAGAGAATGGCCAATTAGGACAGTCACTCTTATCGTCCTGCCCTCCTGATACTGAATAAACTCTGTTATAAGCTCTGTTGGTAGGAACAAGAAAATAACTCAAAATGGAGAAAGAATTCCCATGGTCCTTTTCCTGCAGGGGAGGGATATTTAGGTATCAAATGTCCTATTCTACTTTTCCCATAGTGTTATCGACTGGATTAAACCTTTGACTCCCAGAGTAGGGTAGACAGATATATACCCCAATGCGTAGGCTATTTTAGTTTGCCTTAAAACTTAGCATCTGCTTGGAAAGAACCCTCAAGTTCAGCCATTGATCCATGAATAGTTTTGTCCACAGGTATGTGCTTATGGTTGCTACCTTCTCTCAATGATGTGGATAAAGCATACATCAATGTGTATCTAGTTGCTTACATACTATATCAGCATTCTCTTGCTGTAATACCTCACTTTATCATCAGCTTGTAAAGCAAAGTTTATTTTTAGCTTGCAGCTGTGGAGGTTTACCTCCATAAGTGATGAGCCTCCTGCTCTTCAGCCCGTGAGGGTGCAGCACATTGCGGCAGGAGAGCACAGCAAAACAGCGTTGCTTACCTCAGTACCAGCAAGCCAAAAAGAGGGGAGACTGGACTCCCACAGTCCCATCAAAGGCACTCGACACCCACTTAATGGTTCCACCAGCTTCCAGAAGTGCCACCCGAGGGACCATGCTTTTTTTTCATTTTTCTTTTTTAAGTACATAGGTCTTTTGGGGATATTCAGGATCCAAACCGTAGCACATTCTGGTTAGAATGACAAGTCCAGAGTACATGAAGCAAAACCGACAGTTTTAGAGTGTGTGGTGAAGGTCAAGTCAAAAAGTGTGTATTATAACTTGAAGAAGTTCAAATCGGGAAGCCAGTGACGCTGAAAAGCAGCTCAGAATGACTTGCCTGAGCTAAGGCGAGACTTAGGAAGAGGATTGAGAACTGGCTAGTGGAAGGAGAAGAGGATGACATGTTCCTGATGGCTAGAATGTTCCAGAATGGGGCAGTCTCCTGTGAGTTATTCTTGATGTAGGATAGCAGAGAGGACAGTGGGCCTGTATCTGCTTCCAAATCTAATGTTTATCAACTTAAGCAAGCGCCCTCATCTGTTAGGACACAGAACAAGAGAAAAGCCAGTTTATTGCATGATGGAGAAATCTATGCCGGAGAAGACTTAGGTAAGAAAAGGAAAAGCAGCTGGGTGCTGGTGGCTCAAGTCTGTAATCCGATCTGCTCAGGAGGTTGAGATCTGAGGATCACAGTTTAAAGCCAGCCTGAGCAGTGCCAGTTTGAGTGAAAAAGCTAATTGAGAGCAAAAGGCCTGATGAGTTTAGCCCCAATACTGACAGGAAGAGAAGAAGGGAGGGAGGGAGGAAGGAAGGAAGAGAACTTAGAGCTTGAGAACTTAGAGCCAGTAGCTGTTTGGAAAGTCTTATTTGGAGAAGACTGAACAACACAGAACAAATATTCTTTGAAATCCTTGAAATTCTGTAAGAGATTTTATTCAGCATTGGCTGGTGTCAATGTTTGGATCTGAAATATCCCCCAAAGGCTGGTAATTTCTTGGAAGGTGCTTGGATCATGAGGGCTATTACCTTACCAATGGATTCGTCCATGGATGGATTCGTATTTGATGGTATTGAGTGATGGTGGAACTTTGGAGGGAAGGGCCCAGCTGGAGGAAGTAGATCAGACGGGGGCGTGTCCTGGAACGGTTCATCTTCCCCTTCTTCCAGTGGTCCCTCCTTCCTTGTAGTCCTAGGGGGAGCAGCTCTTCTTTATCTGCTTTATCTTCTTTATCTTGGTGTCCATGACAAGGACTGTGATTCCTTCCTAACTGTCCTGTGGGGAGCAGCTCTGCTTCATCACCCGTCCCCTGTGATGGTCTTTGACAAGGACTTTGGATTGAAAAGTGAGCCCAAGTAAACTTGCATATTTTAAGTCATTTTTCTCAGGTTTTTGTAACAGCAGTGGAAAGCTGACTAACCAGGCAGGAAAAAGCAGGTAAAAGAGGAAGTCAGCTGCTTTGAAGAAAAATGATCTGATCACCAGGGACAGGGAAAAAGAATACCAGCTCCTCTTTATTTTCTTTACATTTACTCATTTATCAAAGAAGCACTGTTGACAAATGAGAGGATGACATGGAATAATTCCCATTTCAGCAATTTCTATAATAGGATCTACTGTTTAAGAGCTTTGCTCTTTAGGTGAGAGTAAAGGCAAAGTCCAGGAAAGTGACTGAGTTAATTCCGACACCAGGGATGCTGGAAAGGCCAGCATCAGTGGCTTTCAGACCTTCTTAACCACACCCTCTGAGGAAACCCATGTTTCCAGCCACATACAGATGTGGCTGGAAGTTCTAGGTATTCCATATCACACCCTGCTTTTTCTATTTTATTCTGTTCTGCTGGATTCATAATCCACTGTAGAGTGAATTTATTTTTTCCTGGCACACTAAGGAATTCTAACCTCTGTGGGAGCAGTGCTAGCTAGTGGACAGAGTCAGTGCCCAGTGCTGCCCGGCTCCTGCAACCCTCACGCCTCCACCAGGCACTAGTATTCATTCTTGCCTTCCCCAGAAATGCAGCTCCCCGCTTCCATGTAACCACGTCTTTGTCCTCACACACTGCCACTTTGTTTGCTGGTCCTGCCCTGCAAGCCTCACTTCTTTGCTCTGGACACTGATTGGGTGGTAGCTCAATGGTCTTCATACACCCGAAGGGAAGGATCTCCCGATTTAGGGCAAGGGAGGAAGAACTGGAAGCAGAGTTTAGAGGGAGGGCTGGTCTCCCGGACAGCCAGCCAGTCAGGGAGGTCTTGTCAGTAATGACAGTGTCCTGTGGCTGGAGGGGATGCAGAAGAGTGCTGAAGCCAGTGAATTGGGATCACAACTGCAGGGCCTTGCTTACCTTTCCCCTGCTTCTTTTTGTCTGCAGGCAAGTTCTACTGTAAACCACACTACTGTTACCGACTCTCTGGCTACGCACAAAGGAAGAGGCCAGCGGTGGCTCCTCCGTCTGGAAAGGTAATGGCGATTCTTCCTACAAGTGGCAGGGAAGCCGTAGGTACCCCGTCAGGATGGAACCCACCACCGCTTACTGGTGGCAGTTGGAATAGGAGATGTCCTCAGTGGGATTAGAGTGGTTGAAGTATGGGGAGGGAGCTAGCTTTTCAAGCAGGGTTTTGGGTTAGGAGCTTTGACTTAGGGTCCCAGCTTGCTGGGCAAGTAATCTCACCACTTGACCCATGACCTCAGTCTGTAAGCACAGTCTTGATTCTACTGATCCTGCTTCCTGCTCACTCTGTAAAAGATACATCCTTTCTAATTGGAGGGTGCCCTCTTGCTCCTTTTCACGTGGTTAGAGCTCTGGTGCAGAAAGTATCGGCCTGAGGGGATCCCTCCCTTTTCTTCAGCCCTGCCCTCAGGTGTTGAGCAGATGGCGCCAGCGCCAACCCTGCCCTCCACTGAGGAGGAACTGTGTCTGTATCTGCCAGCCATTTAGTCCCTGGTTGCGAATTACTTGTCTGAGCCCATTATTTCTTTCTTATTTTTCTTTATCCGTGAGAATGGCCCCTCCACCTCTCTGTCAAGGTGACTTGAGTACTCTTAACTGCATGGACACCGTCTGTCAGCATGCAGACTACTTACTGCTTCTTGAGAGGCTTGGTTGACTGTGGAGGGGTAGTGGGAAAAGATACACTCTGCACATGAAGTCCTCATGGCTTCCACCCATGGATGGAAGATCATCAGGGAAATAAATACTTCCATACGGACTCTTTCCTTCTCGCTCTTCCCTAAACAATGTGGTAGAACAACTGTTGTCACACCATTATTTGTAAATCATATAGAGGTATTTGTAAATCATATAGAGATGATTTAAAGTTTATGGGAGGAGGCTTTTTTTGCATGTATGTGTGTGCTGGTCCTAGGGCTTGAACTCAGAGACTGGGTCTGTCCCTGAGCTTTTTGCTCAAGGCTAGTACTCTACCACTTGAGTCACAGCTCCACTTCTGGCTTTTTGGTGGATTACTGGAGATAAGAGTCTCGTGAATTTTCCTGCCTAGGCTGGCTTCGAACTACGATCTTCAGATCTCTTCCTGAGTCTAGGATTATTGGCATGAGCCACCAGTGCCTGGCAGAGGATGCTGTTTTAAGAGACTTGAGCCATAGGTTTTCATATCCATGGGAGTCTTGGCACCACTTCCCAGAATACCAAAGAATGACGACTTCAAGAGATCTAGACTTTGACTCACAGTGACTTGTGTGAACTATGCCCCCATTTCTTTAAGGAAAGACTGACTGTGTGAGGAATACCACTCTCCACTGACAGGCTAACCAGATGAGTGGTGATTGCCTCTGAGGTTGAAGGGCTTCAATCAGTGTCACTTTCTTTTTCTCATGGACTCTTCTAGGAAGCCAAAGGACCCCTGCAGGATGGCCCAACTGCAGACACAAATGGACGGGCCAGCACCGTCGCCAGCTCAGCTGAGAGAACTCCAGGTAGCTTCACTTCCTTGTTTGGATGGGTGGCACGTCACTCTCTTGGCCTTTGTGACAAGGCCAAGGGTATGAGCCAGCACCTCCAGAGCAACATTTCTTCAATTGGGTATCAAGTGGCCCAGAACCCTTTGGACTCCTTTTTTATGTGTCAGCTGCTTGCATTCGGAGTCCCCTTTCTCTATGGCCTGTCGGAGGTGCTGGTGCAGATCCAAGGGGAGTTTCACTGGCAAGCTGTGAGCCAGTGACACTGCCATCTGGTAAGCAGTGTCACCCAAGTTGGGGGATGCGTATTCAGTCTCAAAGTATGGTACAGCACCTTCCTCCCCCACCTCCTCAACACTGCCGGGGGTTGGGCCAGACCCTGCAGGGAGATAGGAACCCTGAAGAGGCTGCTGTGTTGCCAGTCCAGCAAGTACCCAGAGTAACGGGCCTCCCTGTGGTCCCTGCACAGGACCCCTTTGACAGCGCGCAGAGCTATGTAAGTCTGAATTCATCTTCATCTCAGCTTGGAATTCTTGCATCCATTCCCTAGCTAGGTGTCTGGATAAGTTGTCACTGCTCTTGTTTGTGACCTGTGACTGTTAAAGGCATAGGCTCCATCCTAACCACCTCAGAGCATTTTGAGTTTCCAGTGAGAGTCAAGGCCTTTCTGTTGCGTGGTCTTTACTGCTTCCTGCATTAGGAGGTGAATTGCGCCACCCTACCTCAAAAAACATGGTTGTTCTGGGTACTGTAGGACTGGAAGGGCTCATGGCACAAGGCCTGTGGAGAATTGTGTTGCTTCTTTCCCTTGAAATTGCCTCTGTTCCTCATAGAATTGACCTGTGAGGACCATCCACACTGAGGTATGTCTATCGATCCACACCGCTGGGAGGTCCTGAGGGCCTCATGGGAGTCCCAGGTGTCCAGTCACCGCTAAGATGTCCTCTTGTTCACAGCAAATACACCTTAAGCAGCTGCTTAAAAACTCACACAAAAATTAGGGATTGTCTGCCACGTGCTAGAAACTGTAGAGAAAGAGTTAGTAGTAGAATTTTCATGATCAGAAAGGGAATTATTCTCTCAGCCTTCACGTGAGTGGTCCCCAAAGTTATATTCTTTTCCTGCACTAAGGAGCTAGTGTGAGCCTTGGGGTACTTGCTCTGAAGGCTGGGTGTGAGCTCCAGGGGCAGAGCTGCTGGAGAGGCAGCGCGACGTCGCCCTCCGGGGGCCTTGTGTTCCGGCACACGTGCCCTTGTTGCTCTCTCAGCCTCTGGTGAATTGTCTTCTGGCACACGTGCCCTCTCTGTCTTCTTGCACGCCAGCACCCGTTGCACTCTTAGGCTTTTTTTAGGGGTCCTGTTTGCAGGGCCAACAGTTGATAGCTGTGTTTAAGCCATAAATGACCTTTACCCTTGAACGGTCTTCAAGCCCTTTGAGTCTTCTCGTGAGATACTGACAGCCTTCCATAGTTGATGCCCTCCGATAAGGGGCGTTGCTGGCAGAGAGAGTCCCAGGGATCTAGACAGGACTTTGGCTTCATCCGGGAGTGTGCATCTGATCAGGTGGGAGCACCACCGAATCCCAGCAGTCGGGTTGTCGAGGAACCTGGCTACTCAGTAAAACAACTCAAGGAAGTCACACTTTCTTCTTGAGTAAGGCATACAGAACATTCTCTAAAAAGAGTTTAGTAGAGTTTAGGTCATTCTTGAATAGCCACATGTGCTTGCTTTCCTGTCTTGGTTAGGTTGCCTGTCTAAACTGAAGGCATAATGGAATTCAGGTTTTTAGGAACTCCATATTAAGTAGTTTTTAAGAGTTCCATAGAGAAGGAGAATGCTTTACAAAGCAAGGAAGGAAAATGAAAGTTGTCAATGTGATCAACATCAAAACAAGTAGGAATCAAAGCCCTGAGGATATTTCTGTTCTCGTGGTGCTCTTAGACTGAGTTAGAACGTAGCTTGTCTATTACAACGTGTTCGAGATACGGCAGCCCAAAGTATTCCAGCCTGAACCCCTGAGGCAATCTAGGCAAGCATAAAGTACCCTCTAAACAAGAAAAGGTCAGAGCAAGCAGGACTGTCTGACTCTGGAGACCCAAGCTTGTGCAGTTAGAGCTCTGAGTACTAACTACAGCCCAAGGCTTTGACACGTCTCCCTGTGCAGTTAGAGCTCTGAGTACTAACTACACCCCAAGGCTTTGACACGTCTCCCTGTGAGTTAGAGCTCTGAGTACTAACTACACCCCAGGCTTTGACATGTCTCCCTGTGAGCTAACTTTCCAGCAGCAGCTATAGAAAAGGAACACACCTGTAGTGATAGCTTGTAGCTATCATGAAACCAGTTTCTTTTTCTCATTGGCTAGAAAGTTGCTTTTTAAAATTCCAAACCAAAGCTTAGATTGCTTAACTAGAATTTCTTCCAGAAAAGCTTCAGAAAACTCAGGTTTCAGAATGTGTGTCACTGAGTGGTCACTAACCAGATCCATTGCTCCCCAGGCCAGTAAAGGGCCTGAGTGAATGAACCTGATTGTGTGCTGTGTGACAAACAGTCCTGCCTAGAGCCACATTCCGGGAGGAACAGGAAGAGGCAGGACTGTAGAGGCTTTGACCCCCGCAGGCTCTGGCTCTGTGCCTCCTTCACTCCGCGCTGTTTATCTCTTCTCCCTCATATTCTTTACCCCTTGTAACTGTTGTTGCCAAAAGAAACCCCAAAATCAAAACAAAACAAAAAAGAAAAAGAATTATCCACAAGTTAAAAGAACCTAGTGTAGGCCTGGTTTAAAGTGTCTTTCTTTGGTGACCTAACCTGTAAGTGCTGTCTAATCTAGTGTTTGGGGTACACTGTTTACAGTATTTTTGTTAAGTGCTTTTAATATAGAAATCCTCTTCTGTTCTCAAACCTGTAAATACTTTGTTTCCAAGCCTCTTAGCTCATTGCTGTGGATTAGTGGACCTGGCACAGATTTCCTTACCCTGGCCTCATAGTACCTGCCCCGAGTTCAGGGAAAGCTTAGACAACAGGTAGAGGAAGAAACATCCCACATGGGAATTACCCTTGGTTGCAAGTGTTTTGTATTCTATTTGTCTAGAGGAATTCCGCTTTTTACCTCCGATAGCAGACAACCAGAAATAAAGAACAAGGCTCTTGAAGTGTTACAGGAAGGTAACCAAGAGCTGTTTCCCAAGCTCAGCACCCAAGAACTTTGGCAGTGAGATGGTAGAGAGCAAGGGGAGGAGCACACTGGTTGTCTGTTGTCTGCAGGGAAGATTGTCTTCCTTGAAGAAGCCTCAGAATTAAGTAGCAGTTTACCTGTTCCCCGTTTCCAGACACCTTGTACATGGTTACTTACCATTCCTGGAAGGAATAGTTTGGATCATGAACTGGATGTTAGGAAACACAGGCATTGCCCACACCAGCCAGAATGGCCACATGGTACCAGGAATGTCATTTAACCTGGGGTTCTTTTCCAATGAAAGAAAGTGAGGAAATCTTGTTACTGCTTCTCCAGGCTTGTCCTCTTACTGTCACTTATCGAAAATTAAGGAGAGAGAATTTTGCATTCTAGCTTATCTCTCCAACCCTTTCTAAGAGTCATACTTGGGTTGGTGATAATGTGTAAATGTTTATATCGTCATACATATCTATATAATACACATACATCTATGTGATAGGTTTGCTTTCACATGTATGGATATTTGTATTCTCAAGAGGCAAAGCTTCTTGCTGGTCTGGAAATGGCTGAGCTTTTACCCTGGAAACTGGCTGTGACCTAGCTCCATGCTCCCGTCGAGATTTCAAGGGAGCGCAGTGTGGAGGTGCAAACGTTGGGGGCTAAGTCTCACAGAAGATGATCAGTGCGCCCAACCTCAGGTGACGGTATAAAGAACAGACAAGGAAAGCAGGAGTCTTCCTGGGGCAGGGGCGGTCAGTGGAGCATCCCGCTTTCTCTCCCATTTGCTTTGATGCTTCGCACTGGCTTTCCTGAGTTCATGATTTCCGTTATCCAGGGTCCTCGGTGTTTACTGTATTTTGGCTGTCTCCTGTAGGTCGGTGGGACGTTAGGCCCTCCTCGCTGGGGCTGCACCGTGCCCTGGGAGATCTGGCCAGTGAATTAAGGGGTTCACCTTCTTCTCCTGGGCCATTCACGTGGGTGGGGCAGGCAGGGAAGACAGCAGCTGATAACTGTAGCTACGGTACAAAGAAGCCAGGATGAGGGAGGATTCACTGTGCCGAGGGACTTCACCTGTCTACTCTAACCTTCCCTAATGCCGTTATTTTTGCCTTTGTTTTTAACCTACGCTGTTGTGAGTTTTTGGTGTGTTTCTTTGTGAGTCTTTTATTTAATTGTATAACTTTGCTTTTGCCGTTACTGTGAAACCAAAGTGTTGTGCGTTGTTTTTTATTTTTTTAAACAAATGTTGCATTCTTATTTAAGAGAATAAATTCCAAACAATCTTCAGGTTTCTGAGTTTTTCTTTTCCTTCCCTTTTTCCTGTTTGGAGGGTGGGGAAGGGGAAGCTCAGGCCAGTCTGGGGTGTAGGCCTGAAAGCCTCTATGCCTCAGGGCCCTTGCTTCTGCTGTAGTGCGGGAAAGTGCCGAGGGACGTGGAGACTAAGCTGCCTGTACCTAACATGTAGAGTCCCTGTAACAAATGGCCCTGTGCAGGGGGTGAAATGGTGCAGGACTTTCTGCTTCACAATTAACTGCAAGTAGAGAAGAAGGAGAAAGATGCCCCTGTGCCTGTGTGTCCCTAGACAGGAGTGGGACCCATTGTATGTCTTCCCTCTACCTTGACGGTCTTCCTAGGGTGCCCTCCAGCAGAATGACTGTGCTGAAAGTTCTTACTCTTTTCTCCCTTTGCTGGTACCCGGCACTGAGTTAGGGCATTTAGTTCCATCTGGCCGCTCTCAAGCCTATAGTAAGAAATAGACTCTCCCATCTTACATACACGACTCCTGACCGTAGCAGTGGTGGCTGCTGTCCACTGCATGGGCCAAAGGCCAGCGTCAATACTGATT